TACCATATGGTGTCATATTTATATATTATATAATACCCACAGCAACCTCTCTGAAACGTAGAAAAAAAAACTGAGTACATACACAGAAGGTGTCCTTGTCACTGTAGCCTATTAGGGTGATGTGGGACACTTTAGATTTCTCAAAAGAGCAACAATATGTAAGTGCTGTGACAAGTCCCGGATAATCTAACGCAGTACATGTTTTTTTTTTTGTTGTTTTTTTATAATAAATAAAAAGAAAACAAGTAAATGGAATAGAAGAATAACAGAGAACGCTAGTGTTAGAGGGTCATTGTTTGTTGTTGTTGTTTAATAAATAAAAAGAAAACAAGCAGATAGAACAGAAAAAGATCAGAGAGCGCTAGTGTTAGCGGGTCAAGTTTTTTTTATAAAAAATAAAATAAAAACTAGTAGATAGAATAGAAATTAAATAGAGAGTTCAAGTGTTAGAGGGTCAAGTTTTTTTTTATAAATAAAAAGAAAAGTAGGTAGAATAGAAATAAAACATAGAGTGCTAGTGTTAGAGGGTCAATTTTTTATATATATAATAAATAAAAGAAAACAAGTAGATAGAACAGAAAGTGTTAGTTTTAAAGGGCTCATCGGATGAAAATCTGAGTTTTTCCGTGTTTAAGTGCTATAATTGAGTGTCTGGTGCATCTACCAACTCAGAAAACATGAAAAAGAAGAACCCAGTAAGTTTGGTTTTGTAAGCCTTTCTCTGCAAGCATGTGAGAAAATGAGCCAATCAGATTTCTCTCCCCTTCTGAGGTCGGAAGGGGTTCTTATTATAATATTACCGCGCACGGCCGCTGACTGACACCGCCGTATTAGCAAAGACCCCGCCCTGAGTGAGCCGCACACAATCCGCCATGTTTATCTTCACGCTAGAGCATTTAAAAGCAACATTCAAGTTAGAAATGTCTTATTAAAGCTATTCTTATTAAAGGGGTCATATGATGCGATTTAAATTTTTCCTTTCTCTTTGGAGTGTTACAAGCTCTTGGTGCATAAAGAAGATCTGTAAAGTTGCAGGGCGTAACATTTCCGTCACACGCTTGAGGTATTCGGTCAATCACAACGCTCTGGATAGCTGGCCAATCAGAGCATACCTCGCTTTTCAGACCAATGAGGTTTGTAAAAATCGACGCGTTTCAGAAAGGCGGGGCATAGAGGAGAAACAATAATTATTCCACTACAGTATGTGGAAAATAATGTGTTTTTTTAACCTTAAACTGCATAAACACATGTCATTACACCAAATACACAAAATAATGTTCTTTTTAGCAGCATCATATGACCCCTTTAAAGCTATACTTTATTGTTTGGGTCATATAACAGCATAGACAGCAGTATAGGTACTGCATATTATGCTGCTGTCACTTCATACACAGATCTAATATAAACATGCGATTTCTTTCCCAGCCGTTTACCTTCACCGACATAACTGACTGTTTTTGTAGTGTGTTTTTAAGATAACCTTGTGTGTATTGAAAGTTTAAGCGCAATAAGACATGAAAGATAACTTAGTTTAGTAGCCTACTCACATGCCATGTGACAGCCGCTTTCTATGCGCGTGCCTCGGATGTGTGTACTCAGAAAACACTATATCAGAAGTTTAAACTGATATGGCTTTAAAACGCATGATTTCAGCTCGATATACACCATAATCAAAACCAAACAAATGTTTTTTGGCAGAGTATTTGAAGTACAAGCTGTAAATGCACAGCCCTATTTTAGAAAAGGGGGCGGGGAGCAGCAGCTCATTTGCATTTAAAGATACATGCACAAAAACAGTGCGTTTCTGCTTCCATTCAAAACAGGCATTTTCAAAATGATGTAATAAATGATCTGTGGGGTATTTTGAGCTGAAACTTCACAGACACATTCTGGGGACACCTGAGACTTATATTACATCTTGTAAAAAGGGGTATAATAGGTGCCCTTTAAAGTGTCAAGTATTTTATAATAAATAAAAAAAACAAGTAGAATAGAAACAGAACAGAGAATGCAAGTGTTAGAGGGTCTTTTTTAATAAATAAAAAGAAAACAAGTAGATAGAATAGAGAGTGCTAGTGTTAGAGGGTCAATTGTACATGGAAGAGATGTGTCTTTAGCTGTTTCTTGGAAGATGGCTAAGGACGCAGCTGTTCAGATCGAGTTGGGCAGGTCATTCCACCAGGAGGGAACAGCTAAGGTAAAAGTCTGTGAAAGTGATTCAAACAAGTGCAAACTCGTTCCGCAGCCAATCATAGTGCTCATGGTTTAGTATCAGACAAGCTGAGTGATCCAAACAGTAAAAACTCTTGAAACACTGTTCAACCAATAATATTCACACTGCATCGACAGACACTATTAGGGTTTTGTAGGATCAGTGTGCATGTTGTTGGCATCTGTTGCTGTTGGTCGGCACTTGTTTTTTGCTAATTAAACATGTTGAATCAGCATTTGTCAGGTCTTGGAATGTCTGACAAGTGATGTACTGTAATCCAGTGGCAGTGTGAATTAGCCTTCTTCAGAAAAACTCTTCAGCCTAATTCAAACCAGTGTCTTCTGAGTTTCTAAATGATTCATTAAAGAACAGGACCATAAGTTTGCTCTGTTTGTATTCTGTGCAACAACACGTGAGGAAACAGAAGAAACCACGGCTGTGATTCACAATGCACTAGTGGTTTTCAAACCTGATTCTGGGGTCTCTCAGCACTGCACATTTGATGTGTTTTCCTTATTTAACACACCTGATTCAGATCATCAGCTCAGTAGGAGGGAGCTCCATGAACTGAACTGAGTGTGTCAGATAAGAGAGAAGTGTGCAGTTCTATGGGATTCAACAGCCAGGACTGAAAGCCACTGTACTAGAAAATACAGGAGCCACTCTGGAAATTTATGTTGGTAACATCGAGATAACCATAACAAGATTATTTATAATATTTTGCTGTTGATTTTTTCAGGAGTGAACTGGGTTGTAGGGTGTGGTTGTTATTTTTGTAAAAATCCATCTGTACAGCACACAAATTTAGCTGGACTGTGTGTGGCCAAGGTGACCACAAACACATATACAGCTCTGAAATACAAATATACAGGATTTAGAACTGTATAAAAGGCGTATACATTTTAAGTAGGCCTATGATAATAATAATAGCTGTCTTTTCAGTAAATTATGCAAAGTGAGTGATGTATGGTGCAGCACAGCTCATGCCAAGAGCAAGGGGCTGAGATTTGAAACGAGCAATGGCAATTCATCTAATGGCTTATGCACATTCTGTTCCCATTTATATCTGCTGAGCTGTTGAATTCTCAAATCCCAAAGGTGTGATCTTGTACTAGTGTGAGAAAGTGATTCACACTTGCACTTAGAAAATGCTGACCTGCTGTACAATACCTCCTCTGAGATTTAACAGCTACAAAAAGACAAGTAAAGTGAAGGGGCTTTCCTGAGTTGTAGTGAGCCATAGTAAAGTTACATTGACAGCTATACAGCAACTGTTGCATCAGACCACAGTAGGTTGTCTTTTTCTCTGGGTTCTAAAATAAAATGCCAATATACATGGCACTTTCATAAGCACCCTCCTCTGTTTATCTCTCAACAAATGTCAGAAAGGACCATGATCATATTTTGAGGTTCTGATACGTAATTTTTGTTTACATTAACTGGGCAGGGAATTTTTAATTCCCAGCATGTTTTGCATGTGACTGGGTGCGAAAAGTACATCTTGAAAATAGTCATTATTGTGTGTGTTTTTGAGCAAGACAGAGGAAGAGAAAGAGGAGGGTGTTTAGGTTCTGTTATGTTAGAATTCAGGGTAACACTTTAGAATAATGGTCCCTTGTTAACAAGTAACTATGCAGGAAGTAATAGGTAGTACTTCATTAACACTTAACTTAATACTATTAACTAATAGAGAAGCGAGATTAACTACAAACAACATATTTTTGGCACAAACACTAAATTCAAGAAAAGTCCTCCCCAGCCTACTGTCACTAAAGATATTGGTCTTTTGGAGTCTGAGCTAATTCAATCACTTCCTAATTATTAACATTTTTAAATGAATTATTTTTATTATTATTTTATGTTTTTGTTTGAAATAAACAGAGAACATCCATCCTTTGGTAAGAGTAGTAGTCACAATTTCAACCTGTAGCCGACTTATTTGGGGGATATCATATTCATAAATTAGTTTCCACAAAGAACCCAATTGTTCACTTTTAAGACGTTACTGTTGTGATTAGTAATTAATTGGTTATTCTTTATTAATTGGTCATAGTTCGCAAGTAGTTCTCAATGAGGATATATATTTTTTAGTAATTATCAAATATCTAATAAGTAACTACCTATGTAATAAATTTGCTACTACTTACTGCTTAGTTAATCTTGCTTCTCTATTAGTTAATAGTATTAAGGTAATTGTTAATGTAGTACTACCTATTACTTCCTGCATTCAGAAGGATTCATGTTGCAGTGAAGTTTTGGGAGTTACTATTAGGGAGAAGAATGGACCCATTTTATTGGACAAATTAGTGTGCTGCTGTTATTGTTGGTTGTATTTTTTTCTTGTGCTTTCTGCCAGCATTGTATTGTGAAAACAAATTATTGAATTGATTGAGCCAACTGAATTAAGTTCAGCCAAATAATTATTTATTATTTGAGTGTAGGCTAGTGTTGCTTCCTGTTATTATCCTTGTAGTATACAGTATACAAATCTACTTACACTCATAATAATGACAAGTGTGTCATAGTACTGTATGTGCAACACGTTAGCTAATTCAACTATGTGCCATTTACTCAACGTAAACAGAAAAGTGAGCAGAGGTGAGAAAGGCACCTAAAAGGTTCTGATTTTTCTCTTTTTAAATATCTATTTAGCCTGAAATGTATTATTTACTCTCCCAGCATGCGTCTGTCGTGGGTGCAGTGTTCTCTCTCTCTCTTTCTCTCTCTCTCTGTTTAATGGCACAGCATCACCTGCCCTCATTTCTTTATTCAGAAAGCCTTATGAAGTGCCGGGAGACTCAGCCATGAGGTGGAGAGCATACAGATGCACCAGTTGTTTACCGAGATTTTTTTACAGTCACTGTATTGAAAGTGCCGTGATCAAGTAAAGAAATCGTTTTGGATTCCGAGTAAAGCGGCGTTTTCGCAGCTCTGTCAGATGATTTGATGTAACAGTCTGTGATCGGTGGCACATGCATGCAAGACGACCGAGCGAGATATTTAGGCGTGTAGAGGAGCCGGATTTGCAAGGATTCTGTTAAAATATGTCTGAGGAGGCTAGCAGAGTAAAATTCAGCTGATGCTCTGAGTCCATATGGGCTTTTTAGAGCAATCCGAAAAACACTGACGTTTAAGTTGCATGGGGCTATTTTCTCCTCTGCGAGCGGGTAAGTAGGTTACGTTACTTCACCTGTTCCTTATCTTAAAGTCATACAGTCATTACAGTATGTTCTCGTTTCACAGACTCTGGTCTCTTTACGAAGAAATATACACTGTAAAATATTTTGTCAGGTAACCTAAAACGTGCTTCATATGGAAACGCTAACTGTTTTGTCAACATATTAGTTAAAAGACTGCATCAATAACCTGACTAGCATATATTAGAATACATAAATCAAAGTATGTTAAGGGTAGCTAAAAACTGCATGTTTTTAGTTAGTTTTAGTAATATATATATTAGACAACAGCTACTTTTATAATAGTTCAAATAAAAAGTTCATATCATTGTGAGTAGTTTTTTGGGTCTGTCTGTCTGTGAATTTTGTATTTTCATAATAAAATAAAGGTCACTGTGTAGTTTGTTAAATTATTAGCCAGGCTGCATGGTAGCTTGTTGCTGTAGTCAGTTGGTCTCCCTTGATTCTGAATTAGTGCACCTGCACACACACCTGAGACCAAGATCCCATGAGATGCAACATTGTCAGCATCAAACCTGCAAGCAGGGATGTAGAATTAAAATAAAATAATACCTTATGGTAATGCAATGAAACTTTTTTTTCCCTTCTTGCTTTCACTCTTTCTTGTCTCTCTTTCCCATTTTTTATTTTTTTTATTTCTAGTTCTCCTCCTGCACTGTCATCTTGTTTTCACTACTTCAGATATAATCAAGGCTGGCAAGAATTACACCAAAGCATGTGAGTACTTTTGTTTGAGTCTTTTATGCATGTTTTCTCAAATGCACTTGTGAGTCCTGAATAATTAGACAGATAGTTGCTTTCGGTTATCTTGAGGTTAGTGCGCTTTATGTATGCCATTTGATTATCAGCTGTTGTTCCGTTTTAACCCATGCTGTGTTCCAGTCATTTTGACCCAGAGAGGATTTTCTTTTTAATGAAAATGCTAGTTAATGTTTTCGCATTGGACTAAAACTTACTGACTTTGCTCATGCAGGGTATAAAAAAACGATAATTGATCATTTTTGTACTTTTTGGGGGGGGATTTCCCCCACCTTGTTACACTGTGGTGCTTTCGGTCAAAAATGACCAACCTACAAAAAATTGCTTGTAAGTTTCTTCTGATGCTATATTATTACCAAACACTGGATTCAGTCAAGATTATAAAAAGATTGAATCCAATATATGGTAAAAATATAGAATAAGACATAAGAACATTTAAAAAGGCTGTTTTATGACTGTGAACACCAAATTAGGTAAAGGATTTTCTGCATAGCATATGGGCTAAAGATATGTACTCAACTTGGCTGCTGTTCAAGGAAAAAAATTTAGATTGAAGAGGTTTACTATTTGTTATTGCCCAGAGAATCAGCCAGAACAAGAAAACAAGAACACGTTTAAAGTTTAAATTCCATTTTCATATAGTTGTGGCAACAGTGTTGTTTTTGAAAAGTATTTAATATGGTCAAATGCAGAAAGTAAATAAATCATTAGTAGCCTGGGAAATGAGCCTTGGTAAGTTATGCTACAGTACATGAAATAAATAACCCAGAGTACTTAATTTGAAGTCGTCAGGTTTGATGATAAAGATGCTGTTCTTTGCACTTGTTAAATAGCCCTTTTCAAAATCAAGCAGAAACTCTTTACAACTCAATTGTGATTTTCTAATTATCTCAATATTTGTGCAAACTGGACTTGCAGAGAATACAAAAACAAGACTTATAATATTTTAAATCTGAAATTATATGTTTGTATTGAAGTCAGGCTTAATACACAAGCTGAAGTGTGAGAGGTGGTTAGTTGGCGTATACCTCTCTGGATAAATGTCCTCTAAACTGACTGGATGTGTTTTGGCTTGGAATATGAACTGACTTGATGTGTTTTGGCTTGGTCATATGAATGAAATAGGGTGGGTGGTCACTGGGTGAGATGTAGCCAGGGCCTTTAAACATCTGGATGGCTGTCGTTTTCTTTCTCTCTTTGATCTCTCTCTCATTCCTGCAGATGAAAACATCATCCTTCTTTGCCCAAAGAAGAAGGTCAGAATTGGAACCTGCTTGGTCAATCATTTAAGATGTTACTATAGGAAAGACTGTGGCAGGGAGTACATGTTGATGAAACTCATTTGTTCAGGTAAGCCAAATGTCCAATTTCCAGTATTCTCCAAATGTACAATGTATTCAAAGAGTGGAGATGTTTTCTGTCATCCTTTACTGTCTCTTCCAGTCCATGATTTGTATCTCACCCATTGCTGGTGGGTTGTGCATTTTAAGCACACCTTGGAGTTATAGAGCACAATTTTACACACATTTGTAGAACAGAGGTTTCACACTCTTGTAATGTTGATACCAGTTTTATCCTGAGGAATAAACAAACAAACCAAACTGTAGGCAGCTAGCTGGGGGTCGAGACAGAAACCATGGCAACGTGGCTCCAAGTTGTGATTCAACTGGGCTATCTTGACACTGAGTTGATTTAGCAGTGTTGTTTTAAAGGGATCCCTTTTTCTTCTTACTTTGCCTGGCAGTTTAAATGAGCTCAGAGTTACAGCACAACAAACTATAAAACATGTAAACTACCACTCAGAGTGTCAGAAATGTCATCTAAGGACATTTAAATGTTTTCATACTTATATTTAACTGAGAGCGATGCATCTCCTCGCTGAATCACTGTACATGAACACAGGTTGTCAGCCATCAGGGCTCATTCTCTACCCTGTGCAAACAAATCCAATAAGAAATTAGTTTTGCTAGTCCATTCAGTATGAGAAAAATGGTTTCTGAATGTTAATACATGCCCAAGGGACTGCAGTTACTTCTTTTCCTTGCAAATTTTTAATCAGAATCTCATCTTTTATTGCTGTAATTATTATACGAGACCAGTATTGTGAAACCTGAGGCGATGCTTGTGATTATGTTACTGTTCTTTCACTGACATATAATCTTGTTCGCTAAATGGCCACCATCCTCTTTTAAACACCTTTGTAAGGGACTAGGGATATGCCGATATCAAATTTTCATGTTGCGATTAATTGCTCATGCTTTTATCACGGTATGCGGTATTATCACGATGTTGAAATTTAGTTTAAAAAAGTGCTGTCATAATACAGTATAACAGGTTTAATAACATTTTTCTTATAACAAAAATAACTGAACATTTAACTGCAATAAAGCAATACAGAAAAATGTATAAAGTTAAAAGTTTTACACAGATTAAAGTGCAAAAGAACTATAAAGACCAATAGGTATCACTTTACAATAAGACCTCATTAGTTAACCTTAGTTAACGCATTAACATTCACAATGAGCAATAGCTACATTTGCTACAGAAGTTATTAATCTCTGTTTAAAAAATACAAGTCTTAGTTCAGGTTAGCTCATTAAATAACACAGTTGCAACTTTCGATTTTAACAACATGTTATTAAATATTGTAATTACCTAAGATTTATGAATGTGCGGAAGAATTTTTCATTGGCAGTTTATGTTAACTGTAGCGAATCAGCTCATGGGGAAATATGAATAATTAATCATAACTAGTTATAATTAATTATAAACATTTAGATCCACTGTAGATATTTACTTGACCTCTCAGGGTCAACTGTCTGTCAATTCTAAGAACGTTAATTTCCTGGTTAAGGGAAATAACTTTCATTTCATTGGTAGTTTGTTAACTAATGAATTAACTAATGTTAACTAATGAAGCCCTAATGTAAAGTGTGACCGAACAATAAAGAATCAAAACACTTTCAAACAATATCTAGGGCATGTTGTAGTCCAGATTAAAATGTTAAAAAAGTTTGAAAATAAATAGCCTATTAAGTCTAAATATTTAAGTATTTGGCTCTGTGATGAACATCATAGCAAATACACAAATCTGAATGGCTGTTTAAATCATTTAAACACGATTCAGAAACTGCAGCTGCTGCAGCTGCTTTGTTTACACGGTTTCCGGGGTAACGGCTGCATTTAAATGAATTATTATTATTATTATTATTATTATTATTTCTGCAGTTTAGCGCCATCTGCTGTCAGAGAGTGAAAGTGCGCTTTCATCCAGAGCGTCTCTCACATGTTCCACCATGTGCTTCACGTCCGCGTTTGTTTACGTCAGACTGCGCACGCGTCTTTCATGCAGCATACAGCGGTGTTGTGCATTTTGACCAGTTGATGGGAAAAGTATTCTTAAAATGCATTCAAAATTCGGAATAATTTGTAATATATAATTATTCACGGTATTTAGAAGTGCCCACGATAACAATATTGTGCATATTCATTACCGTGATATATCGCATTACCGAATACCGGCACAAGTCTATAAGGGACAGGCAGCCCCCTCAGCCATAGCGCATTTAGGACTGACCTTTGGCTATAGTAACTTCAGTGCGAAACTGAAGAGAGTGAAATGTCTACTTTCAAATGAACCAAATCAAATGGGAAAACAAATATTCTTGGATTATGTAATCCGTATGAAACATGCATACAGGCGCATCACTACTGTGGAGATGACGAGTTACGTCGACTTCATCTCTTAAACGAAAAAAAAAAAAGCAGTAGTTTATCAATAAATTAATAGACCGGTGACGGCCGCACAGAGTAGCATTATAACAGAACTTGCAAATGTATCTAGTATGATAAAACAGCACTGCTTCCACATACTCACGACCGGAAGGAGCGGAAGCGGTAGACTGTGGCATAATAAAAGCTCCGCTGCTTTCCAGCCGTGTGTCACGCTCGTTCAGCGGCCTCGTTTCACTTCGACGGCTTTCAGCCTCACCCTGCTTCAATATATATATACTGTATATATATTGTTTCGATAGATATAATCAACACATTTAAATTAATAAGATTAATTTAAATGAATAGTTTTATATTTCTCCATCATTTTTAATTTGATTATAATTCACATTGATTGGGATGCTAGTTTTCCCTGACTAAAGCCATTAAATACATAGTCTTGTACATTTGTCATTTTGTTCGATTTTCAGATACATTTTTGCGTCAAATAAGAGTTTGTAATGTGATTCATCTCATAGCTGGTTGGCTAGGTGCATGGCTTAACGCTTTAACAAAGATTTTTTAATGCCTTATGGAAAAAGTGGGCAGACACTAATGCACTCTGATGACTTTAAAAATGGTGTTTCTTTGGAAATGGTTGCATCTTGTTATGTTTGTTAAGAATTATGAACAGGAATAGGTAGGGAATGATGCTCTGTGACAATCCATGTACTGTAGTGAATAAGACATTATATTGAAAAATAAGCAATTTCTATTGTAATACATAGAACGTCCTGCATGAATTTATTAACATGAAAATTTTTCATCATTAGTATTGTCAGACTCTTTCAGAATGAATTATCACGAGGTAGTGGTGTGTGGTACCATATTGAAATGTACTGTATGTATGTGCCCTGCTGTATTCCCCAAATATTAAAATCTCATGTACAACGAGGTAGCATGACTCTGTGTCCTTAAAAATGCCCTCACATAGAGTAGCGCTCTCTAGTCACTCCCCTCAATTCACTCTGATACATGATACATTGCTAATCTATCCAACATATTAAATGTCACGGTAGCCCTGTGGTCCCTGCAGCCAGCTTTTACCTTAGACTCCCAGCCTGCGCAACGGAAGAAAATAACAAGAAATAAATACTGATAAAAGGCTACATCGTTTTGGCTGTCAAGGACCAAAGGACAAAGGAACACTATAAAAGATCATAAAAGTGACCCATACAACTTGTGCATTATATTCCAAGTCTTCTGAAGTCAAACAAAAGCTTTGTATGAACAGATCAAATGCAGGGTGGTGTTCATTAAAAAGATTCATCATCAAATCTTATGGACCACTTTTTTTTTTACAGTGTGTCTTTTTATTTTATTTTATTTTTTATTTTTATTTATTTATTTATTTTTATTTTTGTAGCATGACAACCACAATTCTCATTCACCTACTCTTTCGTTTAAAAGTTTGGGGTTGGTAAGATTTTTTTATGTTTTTGAAAGAAGGCTCAGATGCTCACCAACACTTCAAAAAATACAGTAAAACAGTAAAATTGTAAAAATATTATTACAATTTCAAATAACTCTTCTATTTTAATATATTTTTAAAATGTAATTTATTTCCTGTGATGGCAAAGCTGCATTTTCAGCAGTCATAACCCCAGTCTTCAGTGTCACAGGATCCTTCAGAAATCATTCTAATATGCTGATTTGGTGCTCAAGAAATGTGTATTATTATTATTATCAATGCTATTGCTATCAATGTATTATCAATTTATTTATTTGAAATAGAAATCTTTTATAACATTATAAATGTCTTTACTGTCACATCAATGTAATCAGTGCTTGAAGTGGAAAAAAAGACGTGCCGGTACTCAGTGGCGTAGCCCAAATCCGAGGGGGGCGGGGGTTGGGATTTACGTTGCAATATTGGAATTATTTTATTTTTTAAACCATGAAGGCAAGCAAATGGATATCATACAAGCAACGTGCAAACTTTACGCAAGACTTATGCCAGTGAATGTCTTTCACCAGAAAGTGAAAGTAAAAACTGAGGGCGCTTTCTGCATCTGGTGCCGCATTAACTCCACATATTCTCTCAGAGACGAATCTACTTCATATGCTGATAACGGTATAACTGTTTTAATTTTTTTCCCTTAATGTTTCTTTTGTGGCCCGAACATAGTGAGAAATATATTTAGTGTTAAACAGGTTTTTGAAAGTCTGCGCTAGAAATAAAGCTGCTCTTAATTTTCATTGATGACTGCAAGTATCAACATTTTGAATTATAGGCCTATAATTCATTGTAGGATATAATAGACCTGTTTTAAAAGACCTTATTAAAAACATTTCCAATGAGGAGTAAGCTAATCTTCACAGCGCGGCAGTTATGCAGTGATGCGCAATGAAATTATTGCGGAGCAAATTAATTGTGTTTTTATTTTAATAATAAAAGTAACCTAATAATAATAGCCCTAATAATAATAAGAATTTAACAGGACTACATTAATTGGAAATGCCAAATATTCTTAATATTGACAATATTTAATGCTTTTGACAATATCTCTGGCTATCGCCGATACATGACCATGTCTTTCAACGCACCCCATTGTCTTATCGCGGGGCCCCCCCATCAT